GCTAACATTAGTACTAAAGGTAGGGTTTGGCTGGAGTGGTCCCACATAGTGGGAGATAAGCAGCTGAACTGGAGCCTTGATCCTGTCCATTCAGCTTCAACTGCATTATACAGGTAGTCCTGGGTTTTGGGTGCTAGCTAAGCCTCCCTGTGTGAAGCAGAGTCCTACTTTGGGGTATGACTTTACAGCTCTTAAATGTTTTAAAGAATTCAGGCATTCCAGCAGGCTTATTAATTCAGGCATATTTGCCGGCCTTTCTGTATATATGAATTGACAACCATGCAAATGAACCTGGGGTCGCATTTACTCATACAAATCCCCACAAGAGCAGGCCACTTCCGGCCCTTTAAGAGGCGCTGAGACCCGCTGGCTGTTTTGCATACATTACGTCATGATCGGCCATGCCTCCTCCTGGCAGCCTATAATTTACTACCCAGTAACTGTGTGAGTTTGCCCTTGACTCACCCATGACTCACCTTCTGATGCCTGCTTCTTCCTTCAAGATGAACACATGCTTGGGCTTGCTTCATGACGTTGCTATTCTGATTGTGATGCTGGGGGGACTCGCCACTGATTTGGCCATGTAGTTTGTTTGGCTAGAGAGCGCGTTTTCACCACCACAACACTTGGCTCAATGCACTGACATCATGGCATGTGGACATAAGACCTGCCTATGACTGTCAGGGTTGTGTCATGCACAGAGAAAGCGGGCTCCCCATCCTAACAGCCATCCATGCTCTGTCATTAGCAACGCAGAGTCCAGTTCTTGCCTATTTCATTAAACTTTAATATTGTTTCTATTAATATTTAACATGGCACTTAAGGAGGAAATAAAGGAGGCTGGTCTAAAGTGGGAGCCTTCCCTATGTGTGATTACATGCACCACACGAGGCAGGGAGACAGGGGTGGAGCCCTCATCACTGTGGCGCCATAGTCCGCTTAACCCCTTAGTCACTGACAGCATGTGAGAATACCACCAAGGCCTGTCCTTCCGTTCAGGGCATGGGGAGAGGAACTGGTGTTCTGGGACAGACGGTTCAGCCGGTCAAAAGCTAATCGCAGGAATCATTTACCTGTCAGTAACTGACTGCCCCAGCCTCACCCGAATAAAACAAGTAATCCCCTTAAAGTCACTGTTATGTAAGAACTGATAATCTACTGTTACTATGGTTACCAGGGACCAATCAGTTTCTGTAGTTCCGCAAACAGGCATACTGTTTTATATCAAGCTGTCCCTGGATGGGAGCTGTTCTGTCTAGGAATTGGCCTGTCTCCTTATCAGTGCCAGCCTATGTGACTCCCATCTTCTCACCAGCATGACAGCCAACATCAGGGACTGTGCTCATATCGAACCTTCTATTTAACTTAACATTGTTTGTCAGGACAGCATGTGGTGCAGCAGTTAAGAATGCGGCATTGTAATCTGAGGGAGTCAGATATTGTACCTTTGACCCTTTGAGTCGCTTCAGCAAAATGTCCAGCTCTAGGGAGTTTTTCCTTGCCAGTGTTGCATCTGGCTTGTTCACTGGGGGCTTTGGGCAGGGATGCAAAGCACTTTGAAACAATGTAATTCAAATACTATTGAATTGAATTAAACTGAAAATGACAAATCACTCTTCAATTTATGATGTCAGTGATGAAAGGAAGGTCTGTAATACTAACACTAATAGTCATCCAGAGAGGATATGATGTCACAGCCTGTGAAATGTAACACACAGCTTCAGCAAAGAGCATCACTGACATGGGGTGCCAAGGACCTGAGGCCATCACCAGGATGCGAGAAGTTTATAACCTCAACTCACTCGGTCTGGCTCTCATAGGCAAAGGAGGGCCAGGTGAGAAGGAGAGCAAGGAGAGAGGAGGTTCAGGAGCCAGGAAAGCCTGTTCTTTTGGGGGTGGTACTAGTATTCAAGGGTTAATGGGATTGGTCACAAGATCAGATACAGAATTCATTACTCACTATCCAATTAAAGCAGCATAGGGTACAGACGTGATCACCCTACTAACCCTTATCTGCATCCCTGCATCCATCACCGTGTGAGGGGGGACACAGTGGCACATGTGTGTGTTTGTGTGTGATTGGTCCTTGCCAATCCCGGGCTAACTTTTCACTGGTCACTCAGTGGTGGTAACCCCCCTAGGTATTACTATCTTCTCCACAAACATGTTTGCTTACTGTTCTGAAATGATTATTTAAAGATTAGCTCCCAGCCTTTGGGTTTATGAGAAACTTGATCCTGGAGCAGGACTGCCCTCCCTGTGTCCACATTTGACTGTGCTGCGGCTACTCTGAACCAAAGCTGGGCATCGTTCACCATAGAAACTGGCATACAGGAACAGTTAACCCTGTACTGTGCCTGTCCTTTAACATTGACAGCTCTGAAACAGGCCCATACCCAGAAACAAATTTGGAGGAAGGTCCAAACTCATTATTTGGCTATATGACTGGTCAGGACCAAACAAATTTCATTAAAATCTGAAATTTTACAGCATGCCTAGTCTGAAATAAAAGGCAGCTCACACAGACTTCCACGCTGGACACCATATAGAAGATCAGTGACACGTGAGCCATGTTTAATTTTGCTAAGTGACCCAATCCCCCCATTGTGAATGAGCCCATCAGACAGGCTCCAGGGTTTTAACAGCAATACCAGGCATCTCTGTGTCATTGCAGTACTGTCAGAGTACTCACTGGATTAAAGTTGCTGCAGAGAGACAGTATAAACACAAATATTGGGGAGGGGGGGGCAACAGAGAGATGGAGAATCGTTCAGTGAACGTTCTATCTGATGTCTTCATTAAGATGAAGACCTGCTGTTCTATTAGTTTTCATAAAACCTCTAATGAGCACTTCGGTTCTAGATGATCATCCTAGAAGTTTGACATTTAAGTCACTTAGCATTAATAACTGAAAACATTTACATGCTTGGCAGTATCACTGGAGGAAAGTCCATGCAAAGAGATGACACCCAATGTTCTAAGGTACATCTACAGTCTCCTCTTTGAGATGTCCTTAATCACAGGAGACACTGTCCTGGCCCATGTTGTGAAATGAATAGGGTTTGTGGAAAAAGGCTCTTTTAGGGAAAACAGGGTCATTAGTATTCTCTCTTCTTCCATGATAAATCTCTACTTAAGCACGGGTCAGAAAGGACTGGTATCAGAGAGGACCAGCATCAGGGAGGATTGGTGTCACAGAAGACCAGCGTCAGGAAGGACCAGCATCTCCTTGGGGTCAAATGGGTCCCGGATCATTTAAAAGACAGCAGCTTATTCATTTGGAACGCGGAAGTCCCATGTGGACGGATACTCTCCAAGAAAGGTGGCCCTGGCAGTTCCCCCATCCCCCCCCCCATGTTGAGGCTGACCAGAGTTATCAACTATTTGTTCTCCTGGGTTTCCCCAGGACAAACTCTGACTTAACGACTGCAGCATGCAGACCCGATTTCGGTGTGTAATGTAACTTCACAAAGTGAAGCACCCCCCACCACCACACACACACACCTCCAGCATCGCGCTCGAGAAGTACAGAATGAGGTACAGAATGTACCTGTTGACAAGATGTTTCCCTCTAATTATCACGAAAAATGTCTTCTGGGTGCTAAAAGCTCTCCCCGCTACCGAGACCGAGGTTCGCTTCTGTGAGGTAAACAAATAGCACGTTTGCCATAATCTAATTACCAACCGCCGCTCGACCAGGGCGGATTTTCAACTCTCATTTTCTGTACACTTCCAGTAATTTTCCTAGATTAGTGCTGTTGTTTTGTTGGGTGGTCTATGTAAAATGACAGTTTCTGTAGAGCCTTACCAGCTGATGACTGTGAGGCATTAACAAGGAACACCTGTAAGTTTAACTCGCTAAATCTTCAGTATGGCGTCCTTACTTCTCATTATTAATGGCAGGCGTGTGTGTGGGAGGTTAATGAAGTCTGTCACGACGACGGGGCGACCGTCACACCGATCTGTGTGTAGCCTACGCTCGGAACCGCGGCAGCAGGGGCCACGGGGCGCTCGCGGCATCCTCCGCATGTAGTGTAGGGTTAAAAATCTGCCTGTAACGCACTCACTTGTTTTTAATGAGGTCAGCTCTTCCTCACCCTTCTCAGCAGGTAATACGCACACGGAGACTAAAAGATTAAACCTCTGAGAGTATCTTATCTCCAATCGCAAATGCAAATCAGAGTCATGCGGATCGCTGACTATCTGATCTGTGTATTTTGACGGTAAAGTCGCTGCTTAACGTTATACTTATCTAAGCCCTATATTATTATTATGTTGCTTAAATAATACTCTCATCCCAACAATGCTTTTGCACTTCAGGAGTAGGTCATTTTAAAAGAGCGGCTCAGGTTTCGGGCCTTGATCAGCTCTTCCTAAAACAAGTACAGACATTTTACTATAAATCGTTTCCTGAAGCAGCTAAACCAGTAGTTTTACTCACAGGAAGCAGCTAAACCGGTCGTTTTACGTGCTTGTCTGGGATGTTAATAGCTCAGTCCGTTAATTAAATGCCACGGTTTGCGCCCAGTCCCCCGTGTCACACACCTAGTCTCTGACACCTTGCTGGGCTGCTGTCACCCAACGGCCCTGCGATGTTGCGCAAACATCAGCTCTAAGACTTGTGCTTCCATGCAAATCACGTCTCCGCTGCGCTCCCATGTCAAACGTCTCGTAGTGGCAGCGCACAATGCACTATTATCACGTTTATTATAATCTCTATGCATCAGCGCATATGAATATTCACCCAGGTTACTAGATGTCAGAGTCCTTTGCGGCTTGTACAAGCACGTTTGGCGCAAACCGAGATCGGATCCGACGGTTTCAGATTTTCTACTTAAATAGCGTAATCATGTAGGTTAGCGGTATTAATCACTAACATACAAATGGCTATAATTGTATATATTGTGCCTTGTGCGCTTCTCTTACTTACTTTAATGAGAGCAAAAGGTCTGGTTTAAAACTGGGATGGTCCCCGATTGCTGAAGATCGTAACTTTTCTGCATACTAAAAATTAGATTATGGTTTAATGCATGGGGAGATAGTGAGTCAGTTCATTACCGCGTTATCTGGTAAAGCCGGTATACTGTGTATTAGACGGTGCTTTTCTCCTTAAAATAGAGGCACGAAAATCGTTACTGTGCTGCTGAACATTTTTGCGGGTTTTTTTTATTTTTTATTTTTTTACAAAAACCACTAAAGCCTGCAGAGTCTGTAAAGATTATTCGGGGGCATAATGTGAAACTTGTGTTACCGATTGGAAAAACTTCAGATGGAGCATTATGGGTATGCACAAATCACAAACCGCGCCGCGGAAGACCCGGCGACGCGACAGCTCGTCTCCGTGGAGTGGAGCCCATATTGCCCCCTCCAGGACCGACAAGCCCCGCCTGGCATGGAGAGGCGGCCGCTGACACGTGATCGCCATGCCCGGCAGAGGAAGCATGGCGGAGGCTGCCGGAGGACGCCTCTGCGGCCGGAGGCCTAAGTAGATGGTCTCAAGGCGGGAGTGGAGCGGATCATATCGGATTGGATCGGACAACTTCTGAGACGGATAGGTGAGCACTTTCTCTGACCCGCACGGTATCCGGCTGCTCCGCATGCGCACTGCGTCCGCGGCGCAGCCTCAGCTGGAAACCAAGTAGCCGAACCAGTGGAGCTCCGGATCCGAGCCAGACTTGGGACAGACCTGAGCTGGATCTGGCGCTTACAAGCGTCTCATCTCTTATTCATCTCGTGGGTAGCGCACGCTGTGACAGTCGGCCTATAGTGACATTACAGGAGCTCAGTTTAGGTGGGGGACACCCGGCCAGGACAGAAAGCAGCGCTTTGGGCGGCGGGGGCTCTAAAGCGGGTCCTGGGAAGATGGGGAGCTCTGTCTGAGCCGAAGCGGTCCCTCGTAATAGGGAGCCACTTTTTGAAGTTTAATTTCGGGCTGTCTGGGGTCGCTTTTACAGTGTGGGAAACGTCGAAGTGATTCTTCTAATTTAGCAGATTGGGAGTTCATAAGGAATTAATATAAAATATGAACGAGCTGGGTCACCCCTCACAGCAGCTTCCCTCCGAGGTCCCGCGGGCGTTACCACGGTTCGCTAAAACTGCGGGGCATGGCGTTCATCTGACATTTAATATTTACCATTTTGAAATTAAATTTTTCGTTTCAGAACTGTGCGATCTTAAACACGCGAACTTCTTAATTCTTAATTAAAGTAGTCGAGTGTGTTCTTGAACGATCGATGGCAGAACAAATCTGACGGCTGGGTACGGGGGTGAGGCACCGGTGTGAGTGGTCCAGGTATACCTTACCTTGTGGGGACCAAATGTCCCCACAACATGACGAATACCCGTTTCCTGGTGAATATTGTTGACGGGCGCTGATACTGACCTGACCGCTAATAATTGTGATTGCTTTGTATAAATGGGATACATGGGGGTAAAGTCATTTTGGATACACCGGCAGCTGCCGTCAGGTTCGGGGGGGGGGGGGCGGAGGTTAGGTATATATTAGGGCACCAAATGTCCCCACAGTGTGATAAAACCTGTTATTTAGATGTGCGGACTCAATATTATATAGATAAAAAAATGTGCCTGCAATCAAAAAACTAAAAATCTTATGCTTAAGGTTGGGGCTGGGTAGGGGTTAGGGTTGTCATGTTAGGCTTATGGTTTTTCTCATAGAAATGAATGGATGGTCCCCACAAAGATATGAATGCAGTTATTTGTGTCTGTGTGTGGATGTTTTTGTGGGTGTCTATATTTGTATAGGTGGATGTAGGTGTCTGTGTGTGTGTGGGTATTTGTGTGTGAGAGTGTGTATCTGTGTGCCCCCCATCCTAGTCAGGTGTGAGACCCTGATTTCTTGCAGTCTTTTACCCCAAAAGTAGGCTGCCATGTTTCCAGGAGTCCACGGGTTCTTGGGTGGCTTCCGCATTTTGCTCACCATTCCCCACCACTCAGGGTGGGGGCCAGCAGCCGCATGCAGTTCAGGCTAGGACTCCTGCATTACTGTAAAGCTTACTTACAATCTGGGTGACCCAGCAGCTCTTGGGCGATAAACACTACGTGGTTGGGGCTCCACATCGAGTAGAAATCACCACATCGCTGCACTTGTTTTCAACTCTTTGTCATTAAACACATTCTCAGTATTTAAAAACACCCCCCTCCCCATCCCGTTAGTTTTGTGGTTGAGGTAAGAGCTAGCAGGAAATGGGGGCTGGGGGGTTGTCAAATATTTGGAATAGCTGAGAGGAGGTTGTATGTATGAACATGGGGAGGAGGAGATCTGTGTTTATCTGCACCTTGACGCAAATCTCCAGATTCCTCTTTGGCAGTAATAAACTGACCTGTCTTGTCCTGATTTGCAGCTGCAGCGGATTTGTCCCACTAAAGGTTGTGATTTTCTTTTGGTTGCCACCTCTGTGAGCTATTTGCCTCTCAGTGCTCATTGATCCTTGATCACATGCCAACAGAGACTGGCCATGCAACTGGCGATAGGACAGCATGTCAGCAGTGCAGATGTCCATGTTGCTAAGCTCCACCTGTCCTTTGTTCCAATGTCGCCTCCACAGGTGACAGGATAAAGGAACACCCGATTCCCCAGAGCTGCTGCACATAACTACCCTCCCCCCTCCCCCCCCGACTGTCCAGCTGACAGCCCTGTCTCTGTGCTGTGCCTAGTGAGGGACATGGAGACAGACTCTGTGAAGGACACCATGAACTTCCACAGCCATACAGGCAGGGTGATCTCGCTCTTGGCTTGGGTATCTCCCATAATGCCATGCTCTGCCCATATACCTGGATTTACTACCTGTGAGTCCTGAGTGTGATTCAGCCACAGTTCGTGGTCCCATGTTGTCACCTGGCAGGTGGGCAAAGGTCAGAGATGGCTGCCTGGAGGTCCTCTGTCTGCAAACAAATGTGAACAGTGGCCAGCCACTTTCCAGTTACACTGCAGAGCTCTGACAGATCAAATGAAGGGTATGTGCAGTGACATTGTCAGATACCTTGTCAGATTCTGAGGTGTTCAGTGGCCCTGTTTATTTCTTCTTCTCTGTGTTGTAGCCAGCTCATTTATGGAGTGCCCACACTCTTTTGGGGTATGGATCAGAGGACTCCAGTGCCTCCAAGTGATTGGGGGGGAGTCAGTCAGGTGAAGGTCAGGCTCCTTTAGGGTGAGCTGGGTGTAATCAAGAACTGAGCTCCGTACTGCCATTTCCAGTATGCGTTTCTGCCCGCCGATACCCTGAGATTCTGTCTGGGCCATCAGTCTCAGGTCTGCAGCTCCTGCCCCCCACCCCCCGGCCTCCATGGTGGAGTTCTGTCCTTCCCCCGTCCTCTGGTAGAATCCCTGACCTCCTGTGGCACTTGGCATAGCCTGACGGTTTATTAATTAGCTCATTTATTCAGTCAGCAGTTACTGGGTGAGTCCACTCCAGCCGGCTGCTCCCGTGCTGTTGAAGTGCATGGACCATTTTTATCTTCCAGGAGATGATGCCAGGGAGTAGCTAGACAACCTGGGTCCCCCTGCTTGGGTTGGCACTTTTAATCACTCAGTTGATTTTGCTGAGTTGGGAGGACAGTTTTGAGTCCCCTACAAAGTCCTGGGCCCCCTGAATTTGTCATGGTATAAATGCCCCTCTGATGGGTCTGGATGGCACTTTTCAGGGGGTCACTATCCTGCGGTGTGAGATCAAGAGGAGTATTGGGAGTTTATGAACTGAACGACACATCCTGAAGTCAATCCGCAGGCAGGCAGACAGATTGGGAAATGGGCTGGCAAAACAGCTGCCATCGCTGTCCTCAATGATTTTTACAAACACCTTCCTTTACTGGAGAGTTGGGTGGAGAGATGAAGAGATGGAGAAATGCTTTTGTTCCTCCATCATGCTCCTTCCACTTTGTTCTGGTATCTCCTATTCAGCTAATGACGTAGTTCTTTGTTTTTCCAAGTCAAACCCACTTTGCTTTCTGTCAGGCATACAAAGACCAGCAGCTGGATGCGTACAAAGACAGTTTTACACACTTAAGATTGGTGCAAGATGCTTTTTTTTCCAAAATATCTATCAGTGAAAAGCTGTAGGTGGATCAGGATTGTGAACAATGTGAACAAAGCCAGCACAGACTGGCTGATTCACTGCACGTGTTTCTCTCACTCGTAATTATTTGCTTTTCATCTTGTATTTTCAAGTTGATTTTTAATCAGGGAAATTGGATGATTCTCACAGCAGGATAGGTGGACTGCTTTCTCCACCACTGTGCCCAGCAAGAACCAGGCCAAAGCAAGCTAAATGTGTTTTTCATAGCAGCCAGTAAGATGGACATCCTGGTAGGAATGTGAATGAACAGTTATTAGTGGCCTTCCCACTTTGCGAGCACCCTGTGTGTATGTTGTTTACTCTACCTGCTCTCCATGGCATTTCTTTGGAATCACGTTAGTGTACGGAGAAGTGACCATGACATTGGTTTTATGTAATCTTTGTGTTTTGCCCATGGGTGTCATCTTTGTATGATGAGTCATCAATTAAATTTTTAATTCTTAACGCCTGGGTTTAAATAGATTGTTTTGCTGGAAAAACATCTATTGAGAGGTAAGGTGTGTTGTGCTGGTTGTGAATTGTGTTTGTGTGTAAAATTGGCTTCCTGGGAATGAGTATTAGGCTTCAGGCAGTAGAGAGGAAATGAGGGCGCACTCGACTATGTCGCGTTGTTAATGCCTTGACCTTGCAGTACACTCAGAATCCAGTCTTCCAGGCAGGCTGCGAATTCTGCAATGCCTCCTTGCCCTCTCAGGGTGTTACCAGGCCCTGGCGTATGGTCCTTGGGGTATGCTGGTGGACCAGTCTGAGCAGCCTCTCAGCTCCTCTCTGGAAGTCTGTGTGGCATAACTGCCTATTAGTGAATGCCAACGCTAGATTACACTTACCTGGTTTGGGTTACCTGCTTAAGGCAGTGGTTCCCAAACTGGGGGGCTATCCCGCACCAGTGGGATAGCCTCAGGGGCATGTGCCACCCTAAAATAATCTCTTCACAGACTGGATGATTAAACAAATAAAGCAGCGCAACATTACAGTAACTAACAATAAATAAACCACTAACTTACGTGTACTATTAGAGCATTTATGTAATTTATTTAAACTTTATTTTACCAGGTAAATGAACTGAAAACCAGGTCTCACTGCTTTACGTGATATTCGGGAGAAATAGCAGATAATGCATCAGAACTTCCTGGGATACAAACGTCATACAAACGTCACCTTCTTCAGCCAATAAGGGCAAAGTTGTGTCGTCACGGAGGCTGTTCCAGTTTGTTCAGCCGGCTGAGAGGTGCTGTACGATCTGTCTTAAGTCGTCTTGCTCTTGCAAGGTTTTTGTACCATGTGACATGGTGACGCGTGACGACGTTTTGTAGCGCCGGACAAAAAATCTAACCATATCATGAAAAACGAGGTTTCAGATTTTCTACATGAAGTGCAGGGAGACTATCAATTAATGGGTATGATTTAGTGTTGTTTTGTGCTATAGTATAGGCTGAAACCTGCAGTTATCATTAAAAACAAAA